TTGTGGCGTTATGTTTTGTTTTGCATCCATTCACTAGCGATGACCACACTTCACTTTGTGCATCCATTCACCTGCATTTCATACTGATTGATATGACTGACAGGCCGACCTTGAAATTTAGGAAATTGTAGGATGTTCTCTAATATTGATCTCCACTGTACGTACACACACACACACACACCTTTAAATTTATGCACACCTTTATATATTTATACATGATTTATATAATTACACGTTTTACTATAATGCCAATAAATCCACTTGAATCTTATATGCATAGGCTACTAAATTATTTTAATTATATAAGTTGTATATTAATTAAATATATGACATTTTTAAAACATAAATATGTTTTAATAAGATTTTAATAAGTCCGTAACATAAGCAGTCCGTAATGACACGACATAAATCCTACAATGAAAAAAACTGAGCTCTTGTAATAGCCTAAGTTCTACTGATAATAATTCCGTATGTTTAATTATTTACTTTTCAGAAATGACTGCGTGGTGAATTCTTCTTCATTTAGAGACTGTTATTAATTTTAGACTGGTTGAATTAGCTACGTAAAGCGCGTTGCTACGACGTATTCACAACGAGAATTCACATCGCTTTCTTACCAGCACTTAACGTTGTTCACAAGTTCACATTTGTACGTGTTCTATTCATTGTCTTTGCAGATGCAAGATTTAATAGTAGGCTATGCTGTCGTTACAGTGAATATATATTTGGAAGCATTGTTGATGCTATTATCGGCAGGGGCGTAGTTTGTGGGGGTGGGGGGGATAGGCCTATAATCAATATAACCCCCCCCAATTAAAAAAAATAGCAAGTACAACCCCCCATGTCGTTCCATGAAGCTGATGTGCGATCTATTTGAATTCTATTGAAAATTCACGTTTTATTGTAGGCTTATTTATTGTGGTAAATTTTGTCTAACTTGTTGAAGAATTTATAATAATAGTGTTTAGAATTTATAATAATATTTATAATAATAGGCTAGATCAACTGTTGAGGGAATAGATTTTTCCCTATAGATTTATATTACTGTGGCATGTTGTAGCTATTGTTTCTAAATGTGCAGGCTGTTATTTATTTATTTTTTTTAATAAAAAATGCTATATTGATTAATAATAATAAAAAAAAAGTCATTATTGGTTTGGTAATGATTAAGCCTTATTATAACAAATGCTACAGTTAAGAACTATGGTACATTTTCATAAGAGCAAGTATAGCCTACAAGTCAGAATCGAGAGCCAAGTGTAAAATGGGTTCTAATGATGAGTGATGGAAAACCTGGCCTTCAGTCATTCCAAGAGATAGCGTTAAATCATTAAAAGCCTGATGAATTGTTAAGGAGTAAGAAATAAACAATAACAATATGAGAAAATGTTCAGTTAGATCGACTTCCCATGGCATGTTGATTTAGAAAATTAAGTCAGCCTAGAAGTGCCTAAATAATATAAATGACAAGTAATTGTTAGGCTATTATTTTATTGCAGTTGTTATCAACCAATGTTCAAACCAAAACTTCACCCTTGATTATCGGTGATCTGTGGTTACATAACTGCCCAGTGCTGCATTTGATCTCACCTGATGACTCGGAGCTTGAGTCCTGAAGCCATCTACTGTCTTCATGACAGCGGCAGTCCGCGACAAAATATGACTGAATTTAAGACAACTATATTATTTTTACATTTTTGCCTTCTTCTAAAACCATTAAGTTCATTAATAATATCTTGCGGCGTACTTTTTTCCTCGTCATATTTTTGTTATAGGCCTATTCAGATTAAAAATATTTCATTTTTGTCATGATTTTTATTTTTCCTCTCGTCTTAATTACCATTGATGAAATCAAATAAGCCTTCCACGAACATTTCGTTACCGAAATTACGATTATCTGACAGCAAGACGGTCTCCCTTAAACTTCACAGGCATCACTGATTGTTATTACTTTTTTAAGTCTTCTGTAAAGAGTTTATATCCTTAAATATGTATTAAACAGAGAGAGAGAGAGAGAGAGAGAGAAACTTTACAGCAGTGGATGCTTCACACACACAAAACACTTCTATTATTGCTGTCTGTGTTGTTTATTTTGTATAACAGGAAGATCATCACAGATGATTTTGTTCCAGGTTTGATGATGCCTTTCCATTGAGGTGTCAATATTTGTATCTGTAAAAATATTGTTTCTGACAAAAGATAGACATTCAGATCATACAGCTTGTGTATGTGCTCTGCTCCCTTTCAGTTTCTTTAATTATTTAAAATGGGGATTCACATTCACAGGTAAGATCTGGTATCTGATGACGTGCAGAGGCGGACAGTAACTAAGTACATTTACTTAAGTATTGTACTTAAGTGTTGAATAGACTTCCAGGGCAGGAAGTGCAGGGTTTAACACACCCAGTTGATTCACTGGGCTCTGCTCAGAAGTCAGGCCTGTCCTTCTTCAGTTTAGAGTAGTCCATGTTGACCGTGAAGAGCTGTGGGAAGTGGAAATCGATTAAATTATTTTATTATGAAATATTAACAAAAAAATACAAAATGGGATTTTTGTAAGGTTTTTATTAGGCTTAATAGGCTATATTGCTATATAGTCTATATATTATAGGCTATAAGAGAATTCAAAGATGGATACTTCTAAATGGCCAAAAAGTCTACATGAATGTTTTCACCTTGTACTGGTCATTTGGCCCCAGTTTGTTCCAAGGCTCTGGGTTATTCTTGTGATCCCATCTGTTGACAGATTTCAATCGGTCATAAATTGGAAATTATATTATAACCTAAAGATTATTGCCAGTTTGATGATGTACTCGATGAAAAGGGTACTCACGAGCAGTCAGGGTTCTTTAGTGCGATATGACCACCGATGAAGATGAAGAGAGGAATCAACTTCAAAGAGAGAAAGAATTATAAATAAATGGCTTAACAATTACAAAAAAAGAGAAACTTAATAACCTCCCTATTATGCCATCCATATAATAAAAGACTTTTATATTTTAGGGGTCAAACCTGTTATCATATTTGTTCATTCAATTCAATAGTATTCAATAAGATAATACAATTTACAAATATCAGCATTCAATTCTTTTAAGAAGTTTTTGATGTCAAATTAAACTGGAAAACACTATCAACTTATGTTTCGTAAATTAGCTTGAGATATATTTACATACATATATATATACTTTATTTGCCTATATATGTAGTCACTGAAACAACATTTGTCTAGAATGTGTTTAGACTATATATATATATATATATATATATATACAGTATATGTTTTTTTGTTTGTTTGTTTTTTTAATAGGACAAGAATCACAAAATTATCAAACCAGAAAAGGCAGGTTTCCTAGAATGACCCCTTTAATGCTGTCTACAGTCATGGCCAAAAGTTTTGGCCGTGACATAAATTTTGTGTTTTGCAAAGTTTACTGCTTAAGCTGTTGTGGTGTTCATTCACATTGTTTCTAGATTATTGTTTTGTCTGTTCATGTTAAATTTACAAAACCTGTAGCTGTGATTGCCAGGAGATTACCGTGGCAAAAATACAATGACAATGTTATAATTATGAGATGATATTTTGATGACTGTATATTGTACAGTTTCTGACACAATAAGAGAAAAATTGTAGCGCTCCAAATAGGAAAAAAGAAATAATTTTACTGCAGGTGCGTAGCGCCAAAGGAATAATTGGAAACGAACAAGGGAGCGAACAAGCACACTGAATCCAATTCAGGCTGAAAAGTCTAGCAAAAAAGTTTTTTTTTTTTTTTAATTTAATTTTTTCCATTGTTTATTTATTTCACATGTTGGAGCAGTATAGTCGTAATATTCTATGGTGGTGAGGGTGTGTAAACCTTTTTGAATCTATTACCCAGATTGGCATGCAAGTCATTGAAGCAGCACTGGAGACCACTAAAGGCCATAATGTATGTTTAGGGTTACTTTATTTAAGTCATCACTTTAAAAAAATCAGTTTTTGACATGTACATACATGTATAAAGTAAAAATAGCCACCAACACTTTAGAAGACAGACATGCATTCTAAGTTGTGGACTTGACACACAACTCAAAAATACATCCATTTGCCATGAAATACCACAATGGCCAAGTTTCATATAAAAATCTTTCAAAAGCAAATCTGAAAGAAAAAAATAGACATTGACATTTAACTGTAGACATACAAAACAATCTAATTTTCATATTAGATTCAGGTAAGTGCTCTTTAGATTCAAAAAAAAATTTTCCAGATGGATTTTACTGCAATCTTCTGGATGTCGTGTTGCAATACCGTTGCAAAGAAGCATTTCTGTGTATGGTGGCCAGCAAGTATCATCAGTAGTCACATAAGGGTCATGAGGAGTTTCTAATGTTTTATTGGTCAATCTCTCGATAATCTCACTCAGTGAAATCAGGTTAATCTCTGCATGACCATAGACTGTATAAAAACATGGACGTAGTGTCCGTGACGTCACCCGTAGATTTCCGAAGAGCGTTTTTGAAGCTCAAGCCATGACTGTATGTAGGCAGCTCACTAGGTTTTGAAACACCGCCATGCTTCTCTGAGGGAATTAGAAGAACAACGGTTTTTATATTGATTCCTATAATTTACAAGCGGAAAGCTAATTTCTTTTATATTAGGCTACATTAAGTCTACATGTAAGTCTCGATAGAAAATATTTTTTTTATTGATTTTCCGTACATTTCTGCCATATGTACATTAACTGACAGTCGCCACTGATAAGCTACTACTAAATAGGCTATTGTAGAAACTTAATTTTCTGTAAAGTTGCTTTGCAACTATTTGTATCGTGAAAAGCGCTATACAGTATAATAAATTTGAATTGAATTGAATTAAGCTGTTATGCTAAACGACTAAAAAGAGGCACAATTGATTTAACCTCAATGTAGAGACCATAGTTTTCATATTAGATTCAGGTAAGTGCTCTTTAGATTCAAAAAAACATTTTCCAGATGGATTTTACTGCAATCTTCTGGATGTCGTTTTGCAATACCGTTGCGAAGAAGCATTTCTGTGTATGGTGGCCAGAAAGTGTCATCAGTACTCACATAAGGGTCATGAGGAGTTTCTAATGTTTTATTGGTCAATCTCTCGATAATCTCACTCAGTGAAATCAGGTTAATCTCTGCATGACCATAGACTGTATAAAAACATGGACGTAGTGTCCGTGACGCGAAGAAATTTACATCAAATGGTTCTGTAACATCTCCTAAGATCCACAACATCCCAGTATAAATGCTCCCGGTAAAATATTTGTTATTTAGGCTAAGCATCAGCATTCACAAACCACTGTTATTTTTAACAGAAAAGCAAGCATTGGCTGCTGCATGCATGGTTTGGCATGGCAGAGAGCAGCGCTTCCTTTATCATCACTAAAAGCTGACATCTCAGTTAATCGCGATCTCATAAAGCTCTGCTATAACACAATAAATGTATGCACAATGAATATTTCACAATGTCTACACTTCGTGTGTTAAAGGGGGCATATGATGCAATTTCATTTTTTCCTTTCTCTTTGGAGTGTTACAAGCTCTTGGTGCA